CGCCTCCCTGCCCTCTCTTCAGCCGGCCAGAATGCCTGTAGGCAGCTCCGCCCCGGGAAAACCGCCGCCGGCCCGTGGGGCAGCCCCCAGCGGCCTGCCTTGGTCTGTGGCCCCGCATACCTCCTGGGGAGAAGCTGGGTATTGAAGTGGGTCCCAGGTTTTGCCCCGCTCTGGGAGGCTGGTGCCAGCCTGATGGCGGTTCTGTCCTGTGGAGGTTGTGGTGGGGATGTCTAGAGGTCCCGTGGTCACTCGTGTGAGAGCAGATGGTCTGTTAGACTTGGTGCTGTAGCCAGCAACTCTACACATTGGGTCTGTGTGGAGTTGCCTGACACTGTGTTCATTTTGTTTTTCCTTTAATATGGGCTCACCCTTGCTTCCTCCGGGTAGGAAAGTGGGATGAGAGAACGACAGGGAAGACCACATTAAAACTTTCTGAATCTGCCAGTCAGATAGTGCTGTGCCTCTGAATTGCCCAAGAAGAGGCTGGTTAGTAATTAGGCCCGGAGGCATGGTCCAGCCTTTTCCCATATGGTGCTCCCTAGCTGACAAATGCTTGGGAAAGTGAGGAGCAAGTGCACAAACCAGACCAAGATGTTCCCATTAAACATTTTATTTCCAGACATGTACGCTGATCCTGTTCCTAAAATAATCTTGCCCTTTGCTTGTCATGTACAGCTTGAAACCCTCATGGATAATAGCATCCTGGGAAAATCCTTTTGGAATTAATCAATAGAATTAATGATGGGTGTATTGTTCTCTCATCCCTTGTCAGAAGCTGTACCCTAACTCCGCTCTTTCCTTAAGCTCGGCTGGTGCTTTTGGGAAGTATTGTGCTCTTGAAGCCTTGTTTATGGAAAATGATATGGTTTTTTAAATTTGTTTGCATTAGTGGTCTGTAAGATAACACTCTTAAGTGTGTGGTGTGTGAAGATGGTACTGAGAAACAGCAAGTAACTGAGATGGAACATTATTCTCATAATAGTTTTATTGGCCTTCTGTGTTAATTCAAAGCTGTCTTTCTCCTTCATGTGTTTGTTTTTGTTCAAGCAGTGTCCTCTTGGTCAAGAAGTTTCCCCTCCTGCTGAAGCTGTTCTGCCTGTGTTCACAAAGCCGTGTTCCTCTCAGCTGACTGTGCTGCAGCACCTTGCTGAGCTCTGGGCAGCCCCTCCGCCCCTTCCTGGGGTCACTGTGGAAGGACCATGGCAGACACTGGGGAGGGGAAAAAGGAGGAGGCTGATTATAAAAGACTTCACAGCTTTCCACTGATTAGGGTAAGACGAGGAATGGATTATGTGTTTACCAGTGTTATAGATATGAAATTCTAATTTTCTAACAACTTTCCAAACTAGAATTTCTTCCACTGAATAGCTGCTTGGAGAATGCATGTATGGATGGTTCTGCGGAGGGATCCTGGTCGTCATGGCTGCTTTCTCCCTGTCCTTGACCTCTGCCAGGGAAATTTATTAGCACCGTTGTTCCCCCCATCAGATAGGGGAAGCCTGGGGCAAAGTGATCCATCTGACAGACTGAACATACTGCCTTTGGAGCCCTCTCCTGTGTGCTGGATGCAGCTTGCTTTTTTTCCTAGAGGAGCTGGAGTAAAAGATCTTGCTGGCCAGCCAGATAGCAGAAAAGGAAGGGCTGTGTAATTTACCCATCTTTGTTTATGCTTATAGCAATAATTAAGGACTGTGGTTGGAGCAGTATTAACATGCTTTCCCTTCATCTTATAACAGAAAAACTGAAAAATGTATTTATCTTCTCCTTTAAGCTGTGCTTAGTGCTAGTCTTAATGTTAGGTAGAGAAGAATTCTGCATTGGCTGGGACAAAGGAACAAAGGGGTCAGCTGTAATGCAATAAGCCATTTTCATATTTACTGTTCTCTGGAACAGTGGAAATGCTCAGTGTATGGACAAGCCTGCATTGCTGGTGATGCTCCCCACCTTGAATCAGCAAGTGTCAAAAGTCCCAAGGAGTAGCTGCCTTTTGCCTGTGCCCAGCAGTCGAGGCCCCCACTGTGGCCTGCACACAAGTAAGGACTATTTACTGTTGTCTTGCGTCTAGCTCTTACTTTTGTGCTTAGTTCCTCTTTTTTGTTTGCTCTTTCCAGCACACAGACATGCCGGAGGAGATGCGTGTGGAGGCCATGGAGCTGTGTGTCACAGCGTGTGAGAAATATGCCACCAACAACGAGGTACTAGCCAAGTCCTAAAATGGCCAGCCTTCTGTTGCTGTAGCTCAGGGAACCTGCAGGAGCAGGGCTAAGGGTGCAGGGCAGAGTGGAGTCAGATCCTGACATCCTGTTACTCTCTTTCTGCTCTGAGCAAGGGCAAAAGAAGGCAAAGAGCTTGGCTAAAACTCAGATTCAGTTCCCTTTGTCAGCAAGATCCATGACAGCACTTTCCTTTCCTGCGGGCAGCAGGCCTTACCTCCTTCGTGATCCTGCTTTGCCAGTGATGTGCTTCCACTCTGTTCACAAAATGCCCTGTGTCCTGAGGGCTTGGTTCAGAACTGCGTGGAGATGGACCTTTCCTGTCTGTTCTTCAGTGTTGAGCAAGGCTGTCCCTACCAGTGTGGGGAAGAGACTCTTTGTTTTGGGGATGAGCACATGAAAGTCTTTGAACCTTTAGGTACAGTCTGTTAAAACTTCCCTCTCAGCTTTCAGCCTCTTGAATAAAATCATATAAATGGTGTGTGATGCAGAAGTTACAGTTTTTAGAAAGGTAACTTAACTTTGAGAGCCAAAAAGAACACACCTTGTTCCATGGGCAGGGAACAGGCTACTTGTTGTCAGAGTGGTTTTGTGTTGGAGCAAGGCAAAGCTTCAAAGCCACAGATCCCTTCTGTCCCATCCTGCCCTGAGACACAACATATCACTCCAAAACCTTCCTCTCTCCTTTTTTAGATCAAGCAGGGTGTGATCTGGGAGAAGTGAGCCTTTTAAAAGTCAACCTAGTTTCAGTGTTTTGGTAATTAGCTGGAGAAAAAAAAATGGACTCCTGTAAAAATAGCCACAGCTTAGTGACCTGAATCTCCTTTCACACTCACTGCACCCAGCATAACTCCATCAGCATCTAAATGAGAACTCTTGCTTCAGACTGTGTGAACAAGAGAGTGATTGCTAGATGCAATCTAGCAATTCTCTCATTTCTCCTAGCTGCTGTGTCTGAAAACAGAGACCTGTTTTACCCTTGGGCGTAGCTCTGGGGACCTCCCAGTTCCTGCAGTGCAGCTGCTGTACCTGTTGCCCATGGCTTGAGCTGTCTATTAAAGGGAGAAGAAGACTAGGGGGATGTTTGCATAAAAGCTGACTGCTTGCTGTGCCTCACTCTATGCTCTCCTTCTTACCATTCTCCAGAGCGCTGCCAAGATGATCAAAGAGATGATGGACAAGAAATTTGGGTCCTCCTGGCATGTGGTGATTGGAGAAGGTTTTGGCTTTGAGATCACTCATGAAGTGAAGAATCTGCTGTACATGTTCTTTGGTGGCAGCCTGGCCGTGTGTGTCTGGAAGTGCTCCTGACATCTAGCCAGATCCCAGACTCGCTGCATACAGGAGATTTCTTCCTTCTCTTGACAGGTTTTGTACAATCTGGAGGTGGGGCTTTATTTTTAATAGTTAAACGTCAAGTTGTTGGTTTTTTTTTTTGTGGTGACGTAACAGTTCTGTGGGATACATACAGCTGGTGCATGTGTGCGTATAAACTTGCTAAGCTGTCCTGTCCTTGCGTGTGGGATTTTTCCTCGGTCTGTGGCTCTTTCCTTGGTGTCTGAGCCAAAGCAGGGAGGAGGTGGGGAATAGGTAATCTCATGACACACTGCAGAGCCATACAGCAGTGCTAGGAGGGGGAAGTGAAAGAGAAAAGGTGCTATCTAGCCTTCTGGGTTTTTTTCCTCCCACTTGTTCCACATCGTGTCTTCTGTTCTCTACTTCTCTCTGGTATGGCTCTGACCAGCGCCTGTCTCTCCTCTCTCTGGATGCCAAAGAATGCCTTCAACCCCCGCTTCCAAGATGTCCACACACAACTGGCAGCGCCAAAGGTCTCCCTGTGGGCTGCCCATGGAGGTGTTAGCCACAGGGAAGCAGACTTGGCTTGCCCTTCCCCGCTTCTTTTGGGAGGGTACAACAGCTGAGCTGCCTGGGTGTAGGAGGTTGCTATGCAAACCACCCCCTCCTTTCTCACCCACCACACACTGAGATAGCATGAAAACACGGGCGGCTGACGACGCCTGGGGAGTGGGTGAGAACTATTCATATGGCTTGAATGCCTCCCTGTCAGTTCTCGGGGGTGTTGCAAGTGCTGTGTACTTTCAGCATCTTGTTTGGAGGCTGGTAGAGGAAGGAGGCTCCGCGTGAGATACCACTTGGTCATCAGAAACCTAATGTCTTTTTGGACTTGTGTTCTTTTAGCCTGTTTTATTTTTTAAAGCTGTCAATGTTGGCGGATGAAGTGAGCATAACTGTATGTTACGTATATGGCTTATTTATATAAATCTGGGGAACTGTTGTTTTACAATAAAAAATTTGTAAAATGTCCTTTTCTGTGTGTGTTCTAAAATGAAAATCCCAAACTGGAGGATGAAAAAGAAAAGCAATTCAGGAAACACAGAAGTAAGTAGGCATACTTCCTGGTGACTTGTAGGTACTGGAGACACAATGTCTCATCCTCCCTGTTCTGTTCCTTTCACCAGTGCAAGCCACGATGCTGAGGAAGGTTGCCAGGCCCTCAGTGCTGCCAAAAGTCCTCAGTCCACACAGCTGTTGAAGTAGCAGCAAGGCAGTGTACCCGTGTCCTCTGCCCAGGCACTGCCTCTGCTCTGACTGACCTTCAGGCTCTCTCGCATTTGTGGCTTCCTTGATTTTCAGACTTCCTCTGAGAACATGACCAGCAGTACCACCTCATGTCTTATGAGAGGTCACAGTCTAGTCCATAGCTCAATTTCAAAGGACCTTTCTGCACCAGTGCCTGTGGTGGATCAAACTGATGGAGGGTTTTACAGTTCCTTTTGTTTCTTCTATGAACCTCAGCATGATGCTGGAGATGTCCTTCCTCCATTTCAGCATGTCAGGAGCTCTTCTATAAGCCAGGAATTGGAGTAATATGAAGACAACTAGAAATTATTTCAAATTTGGACCATCTGTGCTGGCTGGGCCCCATGTCTTCTCGCATAATTCCTTACTGATCAGGTGACAGGGAATTGCAAGGTAGAGAGGACACATAACTGGTACCATAAGGTAGCTGGTACCATGGTATCTGCCCTGTGTGATGGACCATGGTGGCAGGATCATTGTGGAGTGTGGAAGAGTCCAAATCCTTAGAGCTGTCTCTCGGTGTGCTTGCTTACTCACTCACTCCAGCTGGCTGCCTTTAGGTGAAGATAGCACTGTTGACTGGCACTTTCTGCAGCTGGCAGGTGGAAAAGCTGATTTGCTGTTCCACGACTTTCTGTCTCCTCTAGGTTTTATCCCTGTAGGTCCAAAGGAAAAGGTAAAGACGCTGTCTTTGGAAAGCCTTGTGCTGAAGCATGATGATGCCATTAGCCATACCACAGTTGCTTTAATCATGCCTCTTTCATGCTAATGAATAATTAACTGCTGTGTGCAAATGCACAGACACACTGGTCATGGGCATCTCTACAGGGTTGAGCTGACCTGCAGATGGCCACAGGGAGCTGCTTACCTCAGCACACGATCTTTTGGCCTTGCTGCCAGTCTGTTATCTCCTTGGCTGCCAGCTGACCAAAGCTAATGTCTCCATGACCTGCACCGGCGAGAGGCGAACATTGACCGCTCCCTAGCCTTCTCGAAGCATGCGCGCTAACAGATGGAGGTGAGCGAGGTGTGAATCTGCAGCAAGTCAGCTCCCACACTGTAACTCCCCCAAGGTAAGTGCAAGGTGGCTCACAGGAGAGTGGCAGGCTATTTTTGTTTCCAAGGGTAACAGCTTTCCCACAAGAAGTTACCATGAAGAAGCCAACCCATCTTAGCTGCTTTGTGTGTCCGTCATCGGTGCTGTACGCGAAAGCACAAACCTCAGCTTCCCAAAATTTGGCTGTGTGTGTCAGGCAAGTGTTCAACAAGACAAATCAATTTTCCTGCCCATTGCCAGTTGAGCCATGTTGTGCTGACCTTTGTGTATTAGAAGAAAGACTTTCACTCTCCTTTTGCTGTGGAACTGGCACATTTTCAGGCATGCCTGTAACTTTCAGGGGAGCATGGTTTGTGGACCAGAGATGGTACCTTGTCCTATGTTTTCCCTCAAGAGACCCCTCTGCAGCTGATGCTTTGGAGCTTCCAGAGCCTATCTGTTTTTGTCTATAAAACTGCATTCTGCTGAAGGTTTTCACCTTACGAATTTTCAGAAGAAAGCTGGGGAGGGTGGCAACAGGTGGCTTGCTATTGTGTTCTCTCCTGCTCATTTCTTGCCCCCGGCATATTGCTGCTATTACCCATCAAAGCCTCAGGCTGAGTCAGATGTAAAAAAGGAGATGAAAAACACAGGGTGATGCATTGGTGCAAAAATGACCCTTCCTATCTGCTCATCCCAGAAAGCTGCGTTAGCAGCTCAGAGGGCTGTGCTTCATGACTTCACTCCTCCCTGCTGAGGGGAGATGGGTAACATCATTATCGGCTGCCAGGGAGTCCTGACTCGGTGCCAGCGGTGGAAATGTTCTTGGAGGTACGGCTCCTCCTCTGCCCCAAGGGTCACTCGAACCTGCTGGGAAGAGGAGAAGGCACTGGGAAGAGTTGGGTGGGGGGAGATGGGAAGAAAGAGGTGGAAACTCAACCACTTGTCTGCCATGATGTCATGGCAACAAGGTACAATGACATGCTGTCAGGCAGTCGGGGCAGACTTTGAAGCTTTCCAGCTCCTGCCTGTTGCTGTGGGCTCGTGTTTGAGTCCCTGAAAAATCTTTCAGTTCATATTTAAAGTTGTCATTGAAGTGCTACAGGTGGCAAGTGCCCCCCTAATCCTCCTGCCTCCGCTTTCCAATGGGATACTAAATTGGGGTGAGGGGGAGGATTGCGAACCTGCAGGGATGGGACAGAAGGACCTTCCTGGTCAGAAGGATGGCTTCAGCCTGTAGGATCCCTGTCCCCATCTGGCTCTCAAGACATAGGAGGGAGGTTTCTATCCCCTTCAGCCCTGTTTGGAGCTGGTTTGGGGCAGTAGAAGGAGGGGGGTCTCCCTCTCCCCTCGCTCTGCCAGGGCTGGCTCTGGAATAAAGAAGTCTGTGGCCCTGCTCTGGGAGCTGAGCCCAGCTCCTTTCATGCGAGCGGTTAGCACGTGGTTTTTGTTGGTGTGTTTTTGGGTTTTTTTGCTAAGCAATGACCTAACGATCCTGTGTTCCAGCTATAAACCCTCCTAAGGCATCTTCTTGCCAAACCATACATCCGGATGGGATCCAGCAAACCTCCTGGACCAAGACACCGTGTTCCATTCTGTGAGGATGCCATCTGCGCCTCTCTGCCCAGCTCCTTCTGCAGGGCTTTGAGCTCACCAGCCGGGCTGGAAAGCTCTCCTCCTCCTCCTCTTCCTCCTCCTCCCCACGGGCCCAGCTCCCCTCAGCCATCTTGTTAGCACCAGGCGGAGGGAAGGGAGCACAGGGCTGGCTAAATCTGGGGCGGCTGACAGTGTCAGCCAAAGGTGGTTTCCAGGCAACTGTTGTGCCGTGGGACATGGCAAGCCGAGAACACCCGGAACGCTGCGTTCCTGTCGTGCCGCCATCCCACTGCGCTGCCTGGGAGGGGGCCGAGCCCAGCACCGACCAAGCCAGAGAGAGCAGCAGGAGCAAGAGGGTAGTGCAAGGATGGCAGCAGAGGAGGGGGTCTCTGGCATACCTTCCCCCCCTGCCCGCTGCTCATCCTGCCCTTCCTGGCTCAGAGTGAGGATGTCCAAGCTGGCTGCTGGCACACCACACCGTGAGGAAGGACGGTGCGATGTATGGGATTTCATGTGCACTCTGCATCCTTTGAGAAATCAAAAAGAAGAAAAACATCACTCCGGACTCTGTACCCAAGCCCTCTGAGCTTGTCTGAGTCCCCTGCTTGTTGTGGGTACTCCCATGTTTCTTTGTCTCTTAACAAACCCAAAGCTCCCACCCTTCAAGTCACCAACTGTTTTTGCCCAGGCAGCCCAGCTCTGTAACCCCAGCTGTCACTGGAAAGGTTAATTTCTTGAAAAATGGGCTGCCCTTACAGTCCACAAGCTGACAATCCTCTCCAGCATGCAGTGGGTCCTGTTGCCCCTCTGTGCTGGTGCCTGAGGCAGCAGACCCCATCCCTGCTCCTGCCTGCCCAGCTTCCCTGCCTGCCTCAGAGGCCCCGGCAGCACCCCTGCCCCTGGCAGCCCTTCCTGACGCTGCCAGTCCAGCTTTTCCCCTCCCAGCAGTGCTGCTACTCACAGCCCCTTCGTTTCACCTAATTCAAGTGGTTTTTGAAAGGTGGTATGTGTATAAACCACCTTGAATATATAGCAGGGGGTGATAAAATTGCTCTGGCTGAGCAGCAGGAGAAAAACTCTCCAGGATTATGAGTGTGAGGATATGATGGACACGGGGAATGGAGCTGCATAGTGCTGGGCAGGGGGGGTGCTG